TGGAGGTTAAGCAGGTGGGTTATCTCTTGCAAGAAGGTGTAATGTTGTGTGATCCTTATGAGGTTTCTCTGAAGAGTTTTCCTTCTATCCAATGGGATGTATGTGCTACAGTTAGAGTTTGGATCGCTTGAGGAGGTTTGTACGAATGTCACAAGGATGAGTATGAACTTGGAGGATGATTTGGAAGGCGTGATGACTAGTGCTGCATGAGTCTATGAGGTGATTTAGTTGGATGGCAGTGCGAGATCATGACAGTTAGAAAGGAAGAGTATGGTGGATTAACATATGATGTGTCTTGTGGCTTCGAGCTACGTGGGGAGTTTATGATCGGTGATTAGGTCATATGGACATGTATTGTTATAATTCCTGGACTAGGATATGCTTGTGGATTAGTTATGACTTGAAGGGATGACTTCGAGGATGATTCGAGCAAGAGATTTGCTAGATGCATGATGTACTACACTTTATGGGTATATAAAAATCTTGAGATCATTCAGGTTTGTTATTCCAATGTGGGTATAGTGTGCAGAAGGAAGGAATTTCTCGATTGCTTCTTTCGTAGTATGCATGTTCCAGAGAAGATCTAGTTGTTCAGCATATTGGCTATGTATCCAGGACTTTGCCGGAATAAGTGACTCTTGAGGATGGTTGTAGTGTGTTCAAGATTCATGCGTGGTATCTTTAGGATTTGCTAAATTTCGTTGAATAGCTAAGAGTTTGAGATTTTTCATAGATGGTGTCGAGACATGCAGTATTTATATATCATCATTGATTCTACCTTGCAATATTAGAGAGATGAAAGAAATAGTTACGGATCCACAGAAGGTCTCTTTAGTACATTTTTGGTTTGAGTTACTTTTGTGATTGACTGTCTGTGTGACTTGATTGAATTAGATAGATCTAGTTCTGATGGCTTGGTTGTGCGGTAATGGGTTTCGAAGAACTCACGGTGGTTTTGATCACGACTTCATGTTGATGTCTTCTACGGTCATGGGAGGTTTGTTGCGTGTCGCGATGTTCTCCTAGATTAAGTTAAATATAATATTTCTGGTTAGTAGAGTGTTTATCCTACTCGTGATTTAGAGTTGATGATGAGGTTCACGTATTTTTATATTGTAGCATGGTAGATGCAGTGAGTCATGAGGTACTGGGATTGTATGGCTAAGATTGTAGTTTAGTTCAGAAGAAAGGTTAGGAGTTTTAGACATCATGGGAAGTTTCAGATGTTTAAGAGGATGCTAGCACTATCTTGTATCGCTTGAGAAGAGTGTGTATTGTGGAAGGCACATGGTGTATTGATTTGAAGATGCTTGACTAGCATTTTAGTAATCGCCTGGTTGTTGACTAGACACTAATTTGTTTAAAATCACTACATCAATGGCACTTGACCATGTGTGTCTGTCAATTGCATTAATTTGGATAACTATCCACATTAGATAAGAATATGCATTCATCATCACGAAGCTACTTTTTTAAAATTCAAATATACTCCATTTTCTCTTTACATAATTTTTTTACTAGACAACCACTACTCAAATATGCCCCACATCTCTGGACAAATAATGAGCTCCACCATTTTTTACATCTCGCAAAATCCCTCTAGTCCTCTTTTTAAGAAATTTTCATCGTTGTCACGCTTCTTTTTTCACTTTATTTGGAACCTCGCCAATTTTTTTTTTCACCAGCACTTCGTCCTCAAGATGATGCTTGTACTTCGCTTTCATTATTGGAAATGGTTGTGCACGTCACTTAGAAAGAACCATCTTCTACTTTTTCGATGATAGTGGTTTCTTGTATTGAGTTAAATCGAAGAAAAGTAATGTCAGCTTGCAGACTCGAATCTAAAGAGGTGGAGTTTTTATTTAGGTTTTGGAAAAATGTTATCTATTTCTTGTAGCTTTTTTGAGCTTTGGTATTCTGTCATATGTTTTCTGTTTGAAATTTTTATCTTTAACGCTTTTCTAGTCCAACAATTGTGCTGGTGTCTTCTCTTTTAGCATATAAAATACAAGTGAGAGTTTACACAATGTTCTCACTAAAAGCTAACCCTTTGTTCTTCACTCATTTTGCTCGTTTCAAACTCTTGCTTCTGTTATTGCTTCCCCTCTTCCAACCAACACTCCAGGGAAAGGGGTATGGGGAAGAGAGAATTTGAAGACGGGAATGGAGGTGTTATCCTTTTACTTTAATTTTTTCCTTTTCCTTTTCTTATTTTAGCCGCTTTTCTAACAAAAAATAAAGGGCCATATTTGTCCGTTTGGAATTCGAAATTGAGCAACTTTGTCCCTCTTTAGATTTTTGGTCTCATATTACCTATGTCACTACAAAAAGATCTCCTTTTTCCTTGATCACTAATGAGACTCCAACTTGAGCACAATCTTAAAACAAATTTAAAAGTAAAGGAGCAAATTTCGATATTTTTCTTGAAGAATTTGGATACATGGAACTCACCAATTTGTTAGTACTCCATGAATGACAAGGAAAGGTACGAGACAATTTGTTAACGGCAAAAGATATGAATTGACAAAATAGTGTAATGAGGGAAAAATTGAGAAATTCAGATAGTAATAGACAACTTTGACCTTTTCCTCTAATCAAAATCACTCTCTATTCATGCTCTTTATGTGCTATAAATCATGAATTTTATCCAACTTAACTATATTAATACGACACAAGCTTGATCAACGGTTAAATGTGTTTAAAATAACTAGTTTTTGTGTACGTGCGTTGCACGTGTGGCTCGCGCTAATCAATAAAAATATACTACCTCCGTCTCAAATTATTTGTCGTGCTTTCTAAGAATAATTGTCTCAAATTATTTGTCATTTTAGAAGTTCAAGATAAAATAAATTATATTTTTTCATTTTACCCTTAATAATAATTATTCTTGACGATGGAGATAACACATAAATAAAAAAAATATTCCATGAAGAGAGACTATATTTTAAGACATAAATAAGGGTAACATACTCCAATCCCCCACCTAAGTAATATTTTTTAAGGGGCGGGTAAAAGAGAAACATAACAGATAATCTGACAAAAAGAGAATACATAAGAAACACAAATTATTGAAAATAGCAGTTGCTGCTAAAATAGGTGTAACAATTTCTTAAATGCTAAAAAAAATAATGTTATACCTTGACATATTAATTGCATCCAATATATTCTAAACTTACAAAGACGATAAAAGTATTTTAAAAAATAAAAGAATTCTCATAATATTTATCATGATTGAAGAGAGATATGGTGAGCGTTAACGGTCTTGATCAAGAAAATAAAAATACAAAATTCTCTAATGATAATGTAAAAGATATATGGAGCTGTCATATATCGTAACAAAAGCAAAAGGAGAGAAAAAATAAATGAAAAATAAATAAATTATATTCTATTGTTTCATCCTTATTACTTCAAGTTTGTATTATTTTAATTTGGCTCTTAATACTACATCATCGATTCTGTTTTATTTGTTTGATTGCTTTAACCACAAATTGCTCTTTTTTTTTTTTTTTTTTAAAACCAACTTTGTGTACTCTAATAGTTTTTTTCAACTTGATTTTTTTCTATTTAGAAAAGAATTGGCTGGCGTTATTTTGTTAATTAGTTAATTCAAATACTTAAATTTTTGTTCTCAATAAGGAAATAATTTATTTTTTATTGATTCAAATTCTTGATATTGGCTCGTCATCTCAATAAGGGTTACTTTGTTATTTTTTATTTTTGGATATTTGTGTTTGCAGAATCATGAGTGTTACCAAATACTACTATTCCAGTCTCTCTCTCCCGCTTCCTCTCTGTTTATCTTCTATATTTTCAAATATTATATGCCATTTGTTTTAATTATTAAGTGTAATTTTAAAGATATTATACATAAAAATTTACTAAATAGAAAAATATTGTTTGGAGAGAAAAGTAGTTCAAATATAATATGAACTATTATAGTTCACATATAATAACATGAAAAGAATTACGATTACATTACATTATTCAAATAAAAAAATAATTCATGTAAGATAAAAAAAAATATTAATCGGTTTTAAAGTCATATTTAATAAAAAAAATTAGGTGCAAGAAAGGGATAACTTTTAAAGTATTAACCATTATTTTACACATAAATTTGCACCTTTTATCCATGATAAAGTTTTCTTGTTATATAGTTCAAGATCTCGTGGTTGAATTTTTTATAACTTTTACAAGAACAAAATTTGCAAAAATAGTACTTTTACTCATCTTTCGTGGTTGACATTTTTCAACTTCTACAAGAACTAAACATGGAAAATTTATATTACTTATTTAAAGTCCTAAATACGTGAACTTTTAAATATTAGGCATAAATGTTGTATGATCTATTAAAGTAACACACATATTAGTTTACTTTTTTTTTATTTATAAGTATTTTATAGAGTTCAAACACAGAAAGAATTTATGTATGATAAAATACCAATTGATTTAAAGCCCTAAAATTTAGAAGTTCTTATCTACCTCAAATAAGGAAAGATTAATAATTAGAATTTTAGTCAATTTTAAAGTTCTAAATATTAGGGAATTAATTAAATGACTATTTTATCCAATGTGAAATCTACTTTTAAAGGGTAAAAAAGGCGAACGACATTTCACTAAGGGGCTTCGTGCTTTTAATATAATATAGATAGATACATCAAAAACTCGTGAAATTGAAGGATGAAAAATAGAAATCGTTTCAAGTAGGTATATTTGCTATTAAGCCTTAATTATAAGCATTACTCTCTTTGTCTCAGTTTGTGTGGCAGATTGAGGGCAAAATAAGTTTTTTCCTTGATATCTTATGTCTTTTAAATATTTTATATTAACAATTTTTGTAATTTATAATATTTTTTACGTAATTTTTAAATATTTAAATTTTATTCAGAAAAACTTAAAATTTTATGTTAAAAATTGACTTTCGAAATTTATTTATACATGTAGAGAATATCTTTTTGCGGGTAGACGAACGAAATTTTGAATAACCCACAAAAGCGAACCTAATCTGAAAAGTTTACCCTTTCTGAGAGGGTGAAAATGCAGTTAGCTAGCTACAAACAAACAAACAGTTCTCTGTCTGTAACAAGGTGGCAGTGGTATGCTAAGTGAGGCACGTTTTCCATCTCTTGGCTCTCTTTTCTCTCGAATCCTCCGTTCTTCCCTCCACCACCACCAACTAACTTCAACATCAAACCCACCATTTTCTCTTTTCCCTTATCTGATGTCGATTTCCACCAAAATCCCGCACCCTCTGCTCCACCACCCTAATTCACCATCCCTTAATAAAGCCCTAAAACCCTCTTCTTCTTCTTCTTTACATTCAACACCCACTAAATTAACCTTCTTTAGATCCATTACTATTGAAAAAATCTCCACAAAATCAATTTTTGCTACTCCTACAAGTGCTTCTTCACAACCCTCATCATCTCTCCAACCCATTGAAGAGCTCCCACCGAAACTCCAAGAAATCGTCAAACTCTTTCAAGCAGTCGAACAACCAAAGGCTAAATACGAGCAGCTCTTATTTTACGGTAAAAATTTAAACCCACTTGACGCACAATACAAGACCAATGAAAATAAAGTTCAGGGTTGTGTTTCACAGGTTTGGGTTAGAGCTTATTTTGATTCGGATAAAAATGTCATCTTTGAGGCTGATTCTGATTCGGTACTCACTAAAGGGCTTGCTGCTTTGTTGGTTCTGGGTCTATCTGGACGGCCCGTTGAAGAGATTATAAAAGTTTCACCTGATTTTGCTGTCCTTTTAGGGCTGCAACAAAGCTTAACTCCTTCTAGGAATAATGGGTTTTTGAATATGTTGAAGCTGATGCAGAAAAAGGCACTGCAGTTGTACGTTGAAGCTGAAAAGGCTGCTGATTTAGGCCATAGCGAATCCTTAAATGCCTCGACTGAGGCTTCTTCGTTGGGCGGTGTTAATGTTAATGGAAATGTTGAGTCTGGAGAGAGTACTGATGTTAGTGGGAATAATGTGAGTGGTGGTGGTGGTGATGATGGTGTTTTGAGGAGTAGAGGGATGGCAATTAAAGAGAGGCTGGAGAAGGAACTTAGGCCTGTCGAATTGGAAGTTGAAGATATATCTTATCAGCACGCGGGACACGCTGGGGTTAGAGGCAGTGACGGAGAGACACATTTTAATTTAAGAGTGGTTTCTAAGGAATTTGAAGGGAAGAGTTTGGTTAAGAGGCATAGGATGATTTATGATTTGCTGCAAGATGAGTTGCAGAATGGATTACACGCGCTGTCAATCGTGGCGAAGACGCCCTCTGAAGTTGGTAGTAGCTGAATTGAACGGCCAGCGTCAAGAGAGGTCTGGTCCTGTAAACTTTTCGTCCTTGTGGATTTTATTGAAATTTATGCCTCATAGTAACTAATAGCATGACACCCTGAGAAGTACTGGATTGTTTCTTTTGTCATGAGAATCTGAATAAAGTAGTTATTGAAGTATTTAAAACTAAGTTTTTCTTTCCCTCCCAAGAATTAGATCAATACAGAGCTTCAATTGCCTTATCTACTGCCGTAATTTGGTTGCTTTAATCTTATCCAAATTTCTCTGTGACATACTTAGACTTAGGTTTGGACATGCTAACCAAAATTCAGGAATGGTAAACTCAATATATTGAGCGCCAGAATTGTGCAAATTATTGTCCTGCTAGCAATCAAGTGTTTATCCATTTATTCTGCAACGACGTGGTAATTTTTTTCTAATTTCAGCTCAACTTAATGAAATACAATTACAATTATCTTTTGTTAGTAGTTTTACAATGTGAAGCCTTTCATGTTTATGATAACTTTAGAACAACAACAGTTATCAAAAAACTTAAGAACAACAGCAACAGCTATACCTCTGGGGATGATATATCTAAAGAAGTCTATCTCTGGGGAACTATGATTACGGTCTCAATGAACCAAAGTGATCCACAAATTCTGCTGAAGTACTGCAGGAAGTGATAATTTGAGTTGCATTAATTTTGTTATCTGAAGGTTCTTGCACGTATTTATGTATGCTATAGAAAGATATGTTATATGCCACTTTTGCTCTTGTTGCTTTCTTTAATTTTGACCAAGTACATCAACGACCCCTTATACTTGTCAAAGTTTTTAATTTAGATACCTTATCTAAGGTATGACCTATTGAACACCCGATTTTAGCTGAAAATATACCTATTATTTAAACACTCCATTAACAATAATTTTAAAGAACACGACACATGATGGTTAAACGCGCTGATGTGGCAAAATGCCAAACGAAAACAGGACACATGGCCGACTATTTTGATTTTTGGTCCTTCTTCGCTTCTTTCTTCTCTCTCTTGCTCGCTCGTGTTTTACACCCAAACCTACCTACTATGGTACATACTTGGGTGGAGTTCTAGCGCTTGAAGCCTTGAACATGGGTGTATTGATGCTGGCACTTGCACCCAAAGAGAGTGATGAAAATAAAGGAAGATCTAGTGCCCCTTTGAGTTACAAATGACCGGAGGGTGGATTCATAATGTTCACCGTTGACTTTGTTGCCTTCTTCTGGATGTCACCATTCAAGTCCATGGGGACACTTCTAATTTATAGTTCTCTATACAATTCAACCTCCATCACAAGCAAGTTATCTTTCCTGACTTAAATTCCTCAGAAGTTCAAACCGCATTTGATTCCATTTGCAGTCCGTCTTCATACACGAATACTGCCATTTCTGTCCTTGAAGGCAAAGATCAAGAACACAATTGGACCCTTCACAAGTAGGAGGCAGTGATAATGGTGAAAGAGACATCATTATAACGAGGCTGAGAGTGGAGTTTCATCTCTTGTTTTAAGAAGCATAAGATATCCTTTCAACTTCTTTAGGGATAAATGCCCGAATATATATATATATTCTCTCTCTCTCTCTCTCTCTTTATATATATATATATATATATATATATATATATATATATATTATATTATATAGTGTTTCGAGGTATGATTTTCAAGGATGATTTAAGGTACATCAGGGTGCTGGTCATGTAGAGGGAGAGATTTTTTGGGTCTGTTTGATGGGGTGTTAGTGCTGCTATGCTTGTGATTCTTGACTTCATGCTGGTCTTCTCCTCAGCTACAATCTGGTGGTGAGCACCATGAGGCAAGTGTAGAATATTGTGCTTGAGTGTCTGTGTCTGTTTGTGCTGATGGCCTTGGGAAGAAGCTTGGTATTTGATGGAGTCAAGTGTCATGCTCTAAAGATGAAGAAAAGGAGGAGAAAGGAAAAACAAAATGAAAAATTTGTCCTTTTTTTTCTTTCTATTGGCACGCGGTTTTGGACTTATGTCAGCTTAAAATAAACTCAGCTCACGCTCTCAAAGGGTGTGTAATACAGATATTGTGCCATGTCAGTGCATGTTTAATAGGTAAATTTTCAACTATAATATCGGGTGTTCAATAGGTCAGACCCTTATAAGGTGTTTAAATGAAAATTTTTACCAAGCTCAAGGGGCTGTCAATGTACTTGACCATTTAATTTTGGGAAAAAAGTAATATACAGAAATAATTACTGTTT